TTTCACTGTGAGCTTTGAGCTCATTTTCCAGTAATATATTGTTTCCCTGCAGCATCATCTACAGGGGGAATGTTTGTGTTTGGAATGGATGGTATTTGTAGACTGGCTCTGTAATGACTAGCATATTTTGAAGGTTTCTTAGCCTGCTATTGATAGTTGCTGAATACATTCTCTTGGTGTGTTTTTTTTTTTTTTTTTTGTCATATTCCTGTGGATACCTATTAAGCGTTCATCTGCTGCTGCTCAGTCATGCTGGGCATGGATTATTTTCCTTGTGGTAAATGGAAAGCGTGCACATCCGTGTGAGTTTCAGCGGATGCTTTGCCACAAATGTTTGTACGAGGTTCAGCAGTGTGGGGTTTATATCAGCTTCATGTTGGGTGTTGCATCTCTCACCTTCTCATCTTGTGTGTGTGTGTGTGTCATTGTCAACCTCCCTCACAGGCTACAGATGGAGAACGAGCTTCGCCAGCGTGAAAGAGAGCATGAGCGAGAACGAGAAAAAGAGAGGGAGCGAGAGGCCGGCCTGGAGAGAGAGAGGGAAGAGGAGCGAGAGAGGGAGCTGGACAGACAGAAGGAGAGGCAGAGGGACAGACAGCAGCAGATGGTCCGGGCAGCCGAGAGTCACTACCTGGCTGAACTGCAGGCTCGGAGGGCAGCACCGCCGGAGGACAGAGCCAGACCTGGAGAGAAGCTGACTCCTAACAGACTGGGTACATAACACACCAGCACACACCAAATAACTTGGTGTTACATAAATAATTGTTTGGGATCTTACAGAATATAGTGGGTGGTATGAAAACAAAATATAATAGTTTTGGTCATGCAGACTAGGAAGAGATAAGAACAGGGACATTAAAGCCTACTCTTCATTCTGTGCATTCCCATAGTGGGAATTTTTTTGTTTTGTTGTTTTTTTCCATCATGGGTGGAAACCTTAAAACAAATGTTCTTTATTTTGAGAAACAATTGATGAATTACTTTTACTTTATAAGTTTTACTGCCCTCATTTTACCAACAGACCCGTTCTTTTCCAGATAAAACCAAAGACCTGGACCAGCTCAGTTTCCCAGCACCAAAGCCTGTGCCCCTGCAGCCTGGGCTTTCCTCATCCAGGGCGTCTGTCCCTCTCCCTGTGCCCAGCCTGCTGCCCGCTCACTTAGGGAAGCAGCGTGCTGCTACTTCTGGGGGGATCCATGAAGCTCTGGCAGCCGCCATGATGACTCAGAGGGCAAGTGAAGAAGTGTGGTTGGCACGACAACGAGCACAGGGGCAGGAGAGAGAGGGTCCCCTGGAGGTGGGCCTCAGGTCACCTGGGAAAGGTGTAGAGAAAGCAAGAGAGAGCCACAGGTGAAAATCTCTCAGAAAAAAGTCTCAGATTGGATTATTATCATGGCTGTTAGCTAAATGTCTTTTTCCTCTTGACATTGAACAGAATAAATTCAGTCTATCACAACCCAAGCAGTAAGGATACGCCCCTTGGAGCTCCACCTCCACTCATCTCCCCTAAAGGGCCCCATCATCCCTCTGCTCCTCCAACAACACTGTGGAACCCAGCTTCCCTCCTAGACACGCCCGCTGATTCCCGTAGAAAATTCAATCCCTCTTCAACTCCAAGTCGACCCCCGCCAGGCCTGACTCGGACCGACAGGCCTATGATGAGCTGGGCAGACGATGGAAGCAAGAGAACTTCCAAAAGCCCGGAGAGGTGTCCCCCACTGAGAGGGGCGGGTTTACAGGAAGCATGGAGCAGGACGGAGCCGGACCGAGCCCTGCACTCCCTCTACCCCCGGCATCAGGCCAATAATCACCACAAACTGCCGGTGCCTCCATCTGCGCCAACTGACCATGGGTTTCAGTACCAGACAGGCCCTCCGTCCCTGATCAAGGAGCAGCACACACAAATGTCGGACTCAATGTTGGTTTACGACGAGGTTCTCCAGCAGCACAGACGGTTACTCAGTAAGCTGGACCTGGAGGAGAAGAGAAGGAATGAGGCCAGAGAAGGAGGTGAGAGATGAATGATGACTGCAGGAAGTCTAGATTGTCTCTATAAAATGTCTTAAACCTGACGTTTCTCTCCTGTTCTGCTTTTACCAGGCTATTACTATGACCAGGATGAGTCGTATGATGAGAGCGATGAAGAGGAGGTAAAAGCTCATCTGAGGAGGGTGACAGAACAGCCCCCACTCAAATTGGACACATCCTCAGAGGTGTGTAAAGATCATAGATCTGTGTTTACTTTTAAACCCCTTCATCTTCTTCACATTTGATCACATTACAACTATATATTTTTTCACTGGTTATCGTTTTTTTTGTGATGGATAAGTGTAAAGAAAAAGGTACAGGGCTTCAAACCTTTTCACAAATCAAAATGTAAACAAAGAATGCTTTTATACCATTTGCTGCAATTATAGCAAAATATCTCAAGTGGTTGGAAACAAGTCTTTTCAACTCTTAGCAGAGATTCTTATTCATGTTTATGAAAACCATGTATCATTTTCCTTCCACTTTTTAGGAGAGATAGAATAAGAGAAAAAATGAAAAGAGCTGAAGGTGCATGAATTGCTTATCAAGGAAATGTACAAATATTCACCTATTGATTTTTCTCTCTCCAAAGAAAGTGGATTTCTTGCGTCTGTGCGGTCTCACCACACTGACCCATCGGGACGAAATTCTGGCTGAGAAGAGGAGGAAAAGGAGAAGGATGATGAGAGAGCGCAGCCTCTCCCCACCAGCAGTTCAGAGTAAAAGAAAGATCTGTTCCCTTTCAACACCCACAGCTTCCCTAAGCACCCAGTACTCTGCCGAGCAGATGGACAGCACCCCCGAGCTGGAGGAGAAAAAAGACTTCCTCCTTATGTTCAACCTCAGCCATGTCAGCCCTCAGCAGAGGAGAGGTAATAGTCTGTTTAGTAGCATCACACATCCTATGTGATACTGAGCCTTCCTCCTGAACATATACTGGTTCTCATTTTTTGTGTTTGCACTGAAGATGTTTGGTCAGTAGAAAATAGAGTTGGGAGCAATCAGAGCAGGATGTTGTTACAGGATTTTCTACTACTGTCAACAGAAGTCGACTTTAACCCTCATCTTGAAAATATACAGGGTAATAAAATGGTTATACTGGGAGCAGAGGGAGAACATGAATACAGTGCCCTCGGCTTCATTCTGTTGTCAATATTTTCCTTACTTGGCTTAAACCTATTTGAAGCAATATGTTCCTAATTGCTGAAAGAAAGTTTTATTCACAAAATATCATAAACAAAGATGTTTTTTTTTTCCCAACATTTCTCCCAATTTATTTGTATGAAGACCAGATAACTAGTCTTGTATATTAGATGTTCTGGGAGTATAATGATTAAAGCTGATAGTCTGACATTTGTGTTTACAGTTAATATTCCTCAAATGGGTTTTATACAACTCCATCAGTTGGCCACCATGCCATAGTCAAGCTGCAGTCTTAATCTAATTTTACCTTTTAGGAATCAGTGATTAAATTAAAACAGAGATTTCCAAAGTTACATAGAACTGGAGATTCAAGAACCAGAATCAGTCAGGTTTTCAGTTTGATAAGCCATGACCAATGACTCGCTGTTGAGAAACTTAGAAGCGAGGGTCCCCTTTAAGTCCCCAATTGTTCACATACAATACTTAAGGCCTAAAAGGTGACAGTGACAACAACTCTAGGATTAGGATATTGTTACTGAGTGAAGACTCACCGATGCCCTCAATGAGGTCCGAGGATGCCTGGAAATGCAGGAAGCTATATAACAGAAAGGTTTATTTTTTATATTGTAAGTTTAGGCTGTGAGAGGATGATAGAGAGCGTGACTTTGAGGTGATACCAGTAACGTTAGAGTACAGACTGTGGCTTCAGCATTGGTAGGTGTGCGTACTGGGCTACTCGCTGAGGTATGATGCCTAAGAGCAGATACATTTGATCCGTATGCCAACTAAATAATGTTTATTGTGCTCTTACAAACCACATCATACAACCTGTTTCTCTAATATTAATATCCATCCATTTTCTGACATGCTTCATCCCAAGTGGGGTGGCGAGGGTTGCTGGTGCCTGTCTCCAGCTGTCTGATGATTCATATCTGATGAATAATATTTGACTCCCCTTGTGTCTCTTTGCATTTTAGTTCTTTGGGGGTAATAATCAGACTTGGTTAAAACTGCTATCACCATGCCAGAGCTTTACAAGAATCCAAAATGGAAGTCGGCCACAAAATTCTGATTCGTGCTTCTCTAAACTTAAGATGTTAAAATCTGCAACTAAGATATGCTGGTGAAGATTCTCAGTCATCCTGGTCAAGCAATCCAGTGGATTGTTTTTTTTTTACTTTTACGGAATGCAACTAAGATAGTATTAAGGGGAAGGGGAAAAAAAGTTTGGGACATAATATCGTCATGCAGTCGCACTTATTAAGTTGTATGTCACGTTGTTTACTTAAAGTAAACAGAAGACCCATGGATGGATGACTCAAGTTCAAAAACTTTTCAGCTGGATACAAAAGGGAAAAAAAAGCTGTCTTTCTGTTGAATAGGATAGTCAAAAAAATATTATTTAAAAAATTTTTCAGGGAAAACTGCAGCAAATATTTCCAATTTTGACACTTTGAATCATTAAGACACAATGTCTGAAGAAACCGTCTTCCTCCTCCTCCACCATTTTTTCGCTTCATAACTCCTTTCAGTCTGAGCTTTTTTTTCACTGCCTGCTGAGATACTTACAGTATCGATCTCCCAGACAAATAACCTCATATTTCTCATACGTCTATTTTAGGAATCAAACTTAAAACATTTTAGGTATCTTCGATAGTGTTCTTTTTCCTAGAGCCTCACATTTTAGTTTTCTTCTATTTTCAAGCACTCTGTCATAATTTAGAGCATTATTTTTACCAGCACAAATTAACAAACAAACCCACAAACCCAAGGCATAATGGTTGAATGCTGCTCATCCATAAAAGGTATGCAAATAATGGTGAATAAAAAGAGGTTTGTGAAAATACTCTATATATCTGCCTCCATGTATGTAGGTTTGAGCTTCTTGTTTTCACTCATATTTTTTTGTTATTAACACACTGATAAGGTTATTGTTAATAAGACATGTTTTGTGGGTAAATACATATATGAAGTGAACAGCTGACCTAGAAACTATAATTTGAAGACAGCTGGTAAAAGATGAGAAATGATCAGCCTTGGCTAAATTTGACTTTTAATGGCCGCTCTGCAGCATTGATTCAGATAATCTATTCAGTGACATTTTTCCATCACTTTGGGCCAGTCTGTCTTTTTAAGTCCCTCATTTTTCTTGAGCGAATGAATGATGGGTGTTCTCATTCTGTCTTTTTTCTCTGTAGATAAGGAGAGGACAGAGGAGCTGCTAAGGGCTATTCAGAGGAAGACTGTGACATTAGACACACTCAAATATAATCCTCTGCCTCTGTGTAGAAGTCCTGCAGCTCTCCTAAATGGTGAGCCACAGAAGAATATCCCATAAAACATGATTCTAAGGCTGGAAAACAGTCTCTTGAACAAAAGCTGTTTTGTTGTTGTTTCAGGGGACTCCTCCACAGCTCCCCCTCCGCCTCAGTCAAATGGACACCAGTACCCAGAGTCCCCCAGTCCCTCCCCTCCCTACACACACAAACACAGGCAGAGCGACACTCTCAAGCCTCCCATGGACTCCCAGGTTCCCTACGCCCCCCCACCATTAGCCCCCCATCATGAAAAATTTGAAACAACAGAGACTCCGTCGAACAGGAAGCTCCACGTCCTTCAGAACGGCGCCTCCCTTCAGAGAAAGGAGCCCAGCCCCGTGCTGAATGGACGGGGCAGGCCCTGGGAGAGGTTCACACCTGAGGCCTTTGCTCAGCGCTTCCACCAGGCAGTGCTGCAGTCAACAAACAGTACACTGCAGAGCAAAGGTGAGACATCTGCCATCTAGTGGCCGCTATATGAACAACTTTGTAAGAACATGATAGTGCGTTAAGCCCTTAATGTCTGCCCTGATATCTATTCCCAGGTTGGTTCTCCAACAGAAAAAAACGGAATGGCTGCTTTAAAGCCTTATAATTGATGCTGATGATTTTGAGCAGCTGTTTTTTTTTTTCATTGATATTTTTACAATAGATATTTTGTTATTGGCTTCAGTGTCTTTTATTCTTGAAGGCCTCTTTGCAATCACCCTAATCTTTAGCTCCTGTAAAGGATTTTCTTATTAAATCAGATTCAAGTCTTTGGCAAGACCTTTGTAAAAGTGTGATTTTAAGCTTATCTGAACTGTGGACAATTAATATGATTTAGTTTTTTGTCTTTTGCTTTATCTGTTTCCCGGGGGGCAGCCTCTTGATGTGGAGGAGAAGCCCCTCACCCTATCTCATCATTATAGCAGCAGCCGCACCGATCTCTCTCCCGTTCTATTCTCCTTTTACTTTTGAAAATGATCCTATCTTACTTGTACTCTTGCATTTTAGACAGGAACTTTCCTCCATCTTGAAGGGAAAAAGCTCCTTTTTTCATTCGAGCACCTTTTAGGAGCTGATTCTGATTAATTTCAATGAATTATAAATTGGCAATATTAAGGCAAATCTAAGAACAACTAAAAGTGGAAAAATGTTCAATGATTATTTATGTTGTATACATTATTATTATTGTATAGCTTAATTTATTTGGTTCCCTTTATTTAAGATATTTGAGAAAATGAGAACTTAAATCACCACTAAAGAGCTGATAATATAGTACCATGCATAAAAAAGAAACACCAGTTTGAACTAGAACGACAAGTGGAAGGTAAGGCGTGTTTAAGAAGTGGAAACAGTTTTGAATTGAAATCAGATAGATTTAAGAATTGTTTTAATTATTAGCATTTAAATGCATTGTAGAGCGATAGAGCAAATAGCTCAGGTGTCACAGAGGTGCTCAAAATTTTGTGCACCTAGAAAAACCGGTGGATTCTTTTTAAAATTTTCTATTGTTGGTTAATAGATAAATAAAAGTTTTGTTTGTGCCACACTAACCACACTCACACTGAGCATCCAATATGGACGCTGGAGATCTAGAGTCTTTCGAATCGCTATGAATGGAATTTTTTATGTTTTTGATGTAGGATATACATTTCTCTCCCATATACATTATAATTCTGACATTGAAGACTAACTCACACCGTTTGCTTTCAGGAGTCTCAAACTGTGCCACAGAGGTTGGTGGAAAATCTGAACACTCGCTGCCTCAAAATAACCCTCATCTAAAAAATTCCCACGTCAAGCACTCCTCTCAGTATGCACACCTCAACGGCCACCATTTCCAAGCACCTGCAGCGAGCCAAGATGCTCCAGCTCTACGGGAGACCCTGTCTGATGAGGAAGAGACGGATGATGAGGAAGAGGAAGAGGCGCCAAAGAAGTGGCAGGGCATTGAAGCTATTTTTGAGGCCTACCAGGAGTACGTGGACGGTGAGTGGAGTGATGAAAACAGTTCTTTTTAATCTATTCAAATGTAAGCCAAAATAAAAATAAATCATGTTGTCATTTAGTTTCTGGGTATGATTTTTTTTCTCCATACTTTATATTTTATTCACTTCATCTGCAGGTGAAATAGACACTATAGGCAGTAGTGGATCTGAGTCAGTTCATCGCTTTGTACTCATGTACTTTATTTATATGTTTATTTTTCTTTATCTTTAACTTTTTTTTTTTTTTTTTTTACAATTTAAACTCTCTTGAAAGGTTAAATGTCACTTTAACCACCTCATATTTCCACTGATTGTTGTTCTGATCCCCCACAGGTTCCAGTTTGAACCAATTATGACCAATTAACGTCTTTTATTACACGTTACCTACAGTAACTCCCTAATAGTAAATATGAAATATTTTAGTACCATAACCAGATTCTCTTGACAGTAGATTATGAAAGGAAACATGCTTCAAATCTTTGAATGTCCATGTTCCATGGAAGGCAGCTTTATTTGGCCCCTGATGCCCTACCAAAGATGACTTGAAGTGTCCCCTGGTTTCTACAGCTATAGTTCTGTTTTCTCTTTACAGAGTGGAGCATAGAGCGGCAGGTTCTCCACAGCCAGTGTAAAAGACTTGAAGGCCAGAACTACAATCTGACCAGAACTGCTGAGCAGCTTTCTCTCACTATGGGGGTGAGAACTGGCAGCTGATTGCATGCATGCCTTGATGTCTTTTTATTTATTTATTATTTTTATTCAAATATTAAGAGTCTGTCTGTGTTAAGGATGTGGATCAGTTCAGATGTTTGCTTCACTGTAATGATAGTTTCTGTAATGAGTGGCCTTTGTTTAATAGGAGCTGGTGAGTCAGAGGCAGAAGGTGAGGGAAGAGCGGGACAGGCTGCAGGCCCAGCTCGAGCACTTCAGGAGGTGTTTGACTCTGCCGAATGTTCACTGGGGCAGGAGCCACGTCAACGGACAGGCGCCGAGGTGACTTTTAAAAGAGGCTCCATCCCAGTGAAGGAACCATAGGAGGATGCTGAACTGGACCCGGGCTGCTTGCCTCACGTGGAGGAGCTAGACGTCTTCTTATCTCTTCTCTGGCATGTCAGTTATGTAACATGGCCCATCCTGAGTTTCTCTTTATTTCAAAATTCATGGCATCCAGAGATTTTGATCGTGGATTGTGAAAAAAAAACGCTTGGTCCAAAGTATCACGTTCTATTAGAAAGCACAAACCAGGAGCCTCTTTGGACAGCAGCAAGGAGGGTCGTGTTCTTCAGTGAGGTTTAGGTCAAGGAATCAGCGCTCACCTCAGGCCTTAAAATTGACAGGATGCACTTGAAATGGATTTAGGTAAATACTTGACTGTCTTCTGTGTTGTAAAATGTAATGACTTCTGAATTCAGAGCAGTTTGCATGCTCACAAAATGACCAACAGGATAAATGAAGCTTCTAAAGTATATTTAATAGCAAAAGGGTTTTAGTTGATTTTTTTTTATTATTATTTGTAACAGTTGTTGTGATAGATGAAAAGTTTTGTAAATTTTACCGCTTTAACTTGTGAGAAAGCCATACGTTTTGGTGGAACTACTGCTGGTCAGAATAAAAATGTTGAGCAAATTAACAATAGGACAATTATATTTTCACAATGAAATAAAATTACTTGATGTCAAAAAAGGTTTGGGATATAAGAGAAAGCACTGCTGTCAGAACATTACAAATGTCACTGAGACGGCTCTTTGGTGCAAGGATCCGTTTCCGTGGTAACTATCACATGTCCATTAAAGTAATTTAATCTGATGGGCCTCTGTCATTTATGTGGCATTAAAGTACTTTTGGGAAGGTCAAAGTTGAATTATGTTAAGAAAGTATTTTCAACAGTGTCCCCTGAGAATTGATGGCCTATATATGTTACGAAGCTTAAAATTATAATTTTTTTTTTAGGACAAACTTGCCTCTTCTTTTTGTAGGATTTATTTTTGCTTAAGCCACATAAATTAAAATTACAAGTAAAAAAATTTATTTTCATTTTTTTTCCTTGTGAAAAAGAAAATCTGAGCACAAGACGCAGTAGTATTTCCTCCCAGTCCACCTAAGAGCTCTGCTCTGTCACCTCCTCAAACCTACTGAGAAATCTTGAATAGTTGCTTCAAATGTTTGTTTTTATGTGATGTATTATTTTGGCTGTATAATTGCAATTAACTATTTATTACCACATATTGGTGTACATTTCCGACGCAGATTTACATTAAAATATTTGTAAAATGTATTGACTGATTATTTAGTCTTGCTGAGGTTTCAAGATGTTTCAAGTTTATTATGATTGCTGCAAAATATATATATATATATATATATATATATATATATTTATATATATATATATAATGATTGCTGCAGACAGAAGGTAAATCTGACACAGTATCAAGGAGAAATACTGAAAAATTAAAACCAATTTAGAGTAGGGACATTTAAATATAGAAAAAAAAAACTCTATATTCATGGGCCTGTTTTTGTAATTAATAATCGTAACAGAAAACAAAAGAAGCAGTTTAAAGCAATTTTATACATCTATCTTACTTTGACATGATGCAGTTTGATTTTCTGTTGGAAATTCTATCTTTTAAAATGAAAGATTTGCATAAAATGAATAATGGAACTGTAGCAAAGTGTTTGGCTGCTCTAATAAAGATATTTAGAGTCAAAGGTAAATCTAAGGTCTAATATTTTCAGCATGTAGTGCTACAGCATCTGAAAGGATTACAGACCCCTCATTGGACCCTTTCATTTTGCAAACCTTGTAAACTAGTCAGCAGAGGATGCGGTCAGCCTGGGCCGTCACTTTATCCTGCATCACTTCTTCCACCCAGGGACATATGGGATCCCATTTGTGGACTTAAACCCAGCCTTCCTCGTCATAAACCCAGAGATCTTCCCTCACGAGTACACTTCACTTTTGGCACTAACCTCCACATCTCAAGGAATAAGTGTTCTATCTAAGGAAAACCACTTGATTGCATGAACTCACTGACTGATAGCAATCCCTCACACTAAGCATGTTTGCAGCGACAGTGGAGAGGAAAACCTCCCTTTTAACAGGAAAAAACCTCCAGCTCAGTGTGAGAGCCATCTGCCGAGGCTGACTTGGGTTCAAGGAGAGAAATACAAAAGGCAACTGTAAAAGGCGGCCCTGTCCAGGAAACACACAGCCAGGCAGATTAACTCTGAGCAAGCTCCCATGTCAGAGGAATAAGAGAGCACATCTAGACAGTCACAGTCAGGGAAACAGAACTACACTGAAAAGCAGGCCGATCTCAAACACCTGTAAACAAAGGTGTTGATGGCAGCAGCACAGCTGATATTTCTCTCCAAGATGGTGTCACAGCCAAACAGGAATAGATAAGGTGAAGCTACTATGAGAAAAAGCAGAGAAAGCAGAACGTTAGAGATTGAACAAACAGATCCTGCAGAGTGAGAGAATAAAGATAGAATGAAGCAGAATGATGAAAAAGGGGTCCCTATGTCCTCCAGAAGTCTAAGCCTATAGCAGCATAAATATAGAGATAACTCAGGATAACCTGAGCCACTCTAACTATAAGTTGTATCAAAAAAGAAAGTTTTAAGCCTTAAAAGTAGACAGGGTGTCTGCCTCATGGACTAAAACTGGTAGTTGGTTTCACAGGAGAGGAGGCTGATAACTAAAAGATCTGCCTCCCATTCTTCTTTCAGAAATTCTAGGAACCACTAGTAAACCTGCAGATTGAGAGCGAAGTGTTCTGTTAGGAACATAAGGAACAATCAGATCTCTGATATCAGATTAAGCTTGGCAATTTAAGGCTTTATATGTGAGAAGGAGGATTTTAAATTCTATTCTTGATTTAACTGGAAACCAATGAAGAGAAGCCAGGAGAGGAGAGATATGATCTCTCTTTTCTCTGCAGCATTTTGGATCAGTTGAAGGCTTTTAACTACAATTTGTGGACTTCCTGATATTAAAGAATTACAATAGTCCAGCCTTGAACTAATGCATGGACTAGTTTTCAGCATCACCCCTGGACAGGTTATTTCTAATTTTTGCAATATTTCGCAGATGAAAGAAGGAAATTCTGGAAACCTCTTTGATATGGGATTTAAATGTCCTGATCAAAAATAACATAAATAATGGGTTATCTTCATCTGGATTTATAGACAGATATAGCTGGGTATCATCAGCATAACAGTGGAAATCTATCCTATGCTGTCTAATAATTCCACCGATTGGAAGCATATAAAGTAAAGAGAATTGGTCCTAGCACTGATCCCTGTGGTACTCCACAGGTAACCCTTGAGCATGAGGAAGATTTTTCATTAATGTGAACAAAATGAAATCATTCCGATAGATAGGATTTAAACCAGTCTATTGCTGTTCCATTCATTCCTACAAAATATTCAAGTCTTTCTAAAAGAATATTATGATCAACTGTATCAAATGCAAGTTCATTATGGTGTAAGTGGTCGTACACTTGTTTGGCAACTACTTTCTCAAGAATTTAAGATAGGAAAGGAAGATTAGATGTAGTTCTATGATTGACCAAGTCATCTGGGTAGAGAGACACTTTCTTAAGTAAAGGTCTAACTATAGCAACCTTAAAAGCCTTGGGTACATATCCCTGTAACAGGAATAGATTAATCGCATCTAAAATGGAGGACAAGATCCAAGGAAATACTTCCTTAAATAACCTGGTTGGAACTGGATCTAACATATAAGTTGATATTACACATCATTGTCATGAGCTGTTTAGACTTTTAGCTTCAGCTCAGCACTAAACACCACTAATGGCAAGAAAAGAGCTGATACAAAAGCAGTTTAGTCAGCTACTCAGCTGAAAACAGATGTGCTTTTTACACCTGCCTCTTTATTTATTAAAGAACAGAAAATAAACAGTTAACCGCATTGTCCTCATTTTATCCTCTCGTTATTGTATCCGTATAGATGTTTTTCATACTATTGCAACTGTTTCAACAGCTAATTATTATGTGAGTAATGAAAACCAAAGTCAAATCGCCTGTGCTCAAAAACATGCCCAATAAAGCTGATTTGGATTTTAATTTCATTCATAAATAGCTGTATTTAAATGTTGTAAAACCTTTTGCCAATGGTTTAAAACTCAGTGGCTAAAGGAGACAGATCATCAAATGAAAAAAACTGAGAGAAAAGAAATGAGATACCCGTTTGTAGCCTGCATAGCCTTCAGAAACCCCATTTGATCCACAGCCATCTTGACTCATTTTGTGCCGCATCATTCAGTGATGTCTCTGATGGCTTTTCTGATCTGTAGTCTGTTCACTCCCAACAAAACACTATTTACAGCTGTCTGATTCCTAACTTGTTCTGTTCTGTAGCATCTAGTTAAAGATTCATATCCAAAATAACTGATAGGTATTTTCTAAAATTCTTTTTCACCCTCTTGTAGTCCTTTTAGAAAATCACAAATCACAAAAATACTTTTAAATAATTCTAAGCCCTGCTGTCAACCTCTGCAGATTATGCGCTGCAGGTTTTGTCAAGACTCAATGTATCCAAAAATACTCAGATAAGATGCTCAGAACACTGCTGTGTTCAAGGAGCTCGATCGTGCAGGAATGTTGGAACAATCAATCAAGCTTTAATTTCAATTCAATTTCATTTCAGTTTATTTCTATAGAGCCAATTCACAACACGTGCCATCTTAAGGCACTTTACAATTCGCCAGATTATACAGTCAAAGTGATTCAAAGTTTTCTATCTAAGGAAAACCAGTTGATTGCATCGACTCATTGATTCGAAGGCAAACTCCTCACACTAAACATGCTTGTAGCAACAGTGGAGTTGTCATTTTAAGCTATTTTCTTTTTAGGAAGCAATTATTTCATCCTTATAACCTTAAAAACATCAACATTAGCTAATGTGAGGAAGGCCATTTGTTGGCTTAGAAATTAAACAATGTTTTCTGCTGTCTAATGAGGTCATTGCATTTCCTGCTGTTGAGATGATATTTATTGTTATGTAATGTGAAATGTAAATCCCTTTATTGTCCCACAATGGGGGAATTTCGTTCTCTGTATTCAACCCATCCTCTTGGGGAGCAGTGCAGGGAGCAATCAGGAACCCAGAGTGCAGGCTGTGGGGATCGAACAGGTATTTGCAGCCTTATCAGATCACAAGCGCACTTCTCTAACCACCATGCCAACAGTCACCCAACTAACCACTAATGGAGAGGGATTCTTCAATTGTCCTATTTAAAACTGCTGTTCTCTGACTCAGTGTGGTCAAAACAAATACTATTTTTGAGCTTTTAAGTTTATCATGACAAGTTTGATGAGAATAAACTGTTTTTGCTTTAACACATTGTTACACTTACAAAGATTATAAATTTATTAGCTAATTATTGACATAGTTTTTTGAGCTATTGTAACTTAGCTGAGTAGGTCACTTAGTAATTACAAGGATTTAATATCGAGTCATAGGGTGACTGGTGGTTCACCTTTAGGTTTCTTTGTTTAATGACTAACAAAATTATTAACACCCCTTTGAAAATGATGTCAGGTTAAAACCAGTGAGTTCGATTCTTTGTTGCTAATGTCATTTATTATAATATGGAGCTTTGTTTCCTAACCAAGAGCCCTATGTACTAAAGAGTGCGGCGCTTTGAAACAAAAATGCTTATACAGGGAAAACCTCTAAAGTTTGTGGCGTGCAAAAATAATTCAGATGTACAGAACCGTGCGTACAAACACTTCCATTCCTCCCAATCTGAAATGAATTGATGGCAGCTGCAGAGTAATTTTTGCCTGTCCTATCTTCAACTTTTAATACATATATCTGTTTAAAACTCAGGATGTTCCTTTTTCCCCAGAAAATACATAGGAAATCCAGAGGTGTGTTTTTTAAGGTGCACAGCTATTCAGTCAAGATTTGCTTTTTTAAAAGGCAAACTGATTTACAGATGGTGCTTTTATAGCAATATAAGTACAGGTAACTTAATTCACAGTACTGCGGTAGCGAAGGGTGCAGTAGGGAGAAGCTGAACCAGCACTGAGGACACAAGGTTTATAGGCAGATTATTCCAGCAGTGCCAAGGCTGCCATCTTTTTACAATTACGCACTCATTTAAATGTGAATATCCACAGCTTTTCCACCTTATGATTCATCACACCTTACTTGTTTGGAATAAATGTGCTGATCCGCACCGTTTCTTGTTTCTTTTTTTCAGCTAGATATAAGTGTCCCTTTGAGAATGCATGTATGCTCCTTATAACACAGACAATGATGCACATATAGTTAACTAAGCCATGGGAACATTTACATCTGACTGTAATTTTTCTGTTATATTTTCAGGTGTCCTACATAACTGTTTGAGGCTAAGTCATTGAGCTTTTAATAAAAGCAAAAATAAGCAAACAAAAGTAAAGATTAAGTTTGCTGTACTACAAAACACAAAGGAGTCATATGTCAGTTTATTTAGAAGAGTTTAAGGGCTTTATAGTTTGCATAAGAATAATTTATACAAGAGGGTGCTCTTTCTTTTAAATATTTGGTTTGATCCCTTAATGTAATGTGGAAAACTGCAAACATGACTTCCTTTGGCTTTCCTCTTGTCAGGCTGCCATAAAGCTATATTTTAAGTATGCAATGCACATGATTAAAAGTCCTCCTTATCTACAATTTTTTCCATCTAGAACGAATCTCTGGAATTATCCTAGAGTTTTGCATGAGACTGCAGTTGTGCCTTACCCTAAATTACTGAACAAAGAAAATATATAATGGTTTAATCAATCGATATAATCAGATTTAGGGTACTGATTTATAATCTAAACTTACTTTAACTCACTCACTATTACGGGCTGTCTGCTGGATGTATGTAAGGCCTCCAAATTTGCAGACTCATAATGCCAGAAGGCTACATTCCACCATTACAATTATTATAATAATAGACCCTATATAATAATAGACCCTATAAGCCTATAGGTCTATTTATAATAATAGATCTTCCCAAATGTTAGAGACCAGCAGCTGATTTCTAGTTTTTTGGGCATTTCAAAATCGCTTTTATTTAGGCTTTATGCCTCAGACTGGTAAGGTAAACGCTCTTTGACATAAGTTATTTGCATTAGGTTTTACTTATGAATATCTGATCCACACAAAATAAACACCTTTACCCACTTTACATTTTTAATTTGTAAAACCAATTTATTTCTGCGTATTATTTCACTTCAGCGTCACAACCATTTGATGGTCCATCACGCAAAATAGATTGGTTTTTGGGTAAAACATATTAAATGAGGAAGCTTTGAAAGTTGCGTCTTTCTGATACTGTAAAAGCTGACAATTAGAAAATGTCAGTCTGAGAGAAAAAAAACTAATATTTTATCACACATCCATTTTTATGAACAGGAATAAATGAAAGAAATGTAAAACACAAGGCAAAACACACAGCATACCATTCTAAAACATACACAACAACAACAACGTTTTGTAACATAGAACATCCCCTTGAGTAGAAACAACTGTATGACAAGGTTTAAATGTCTGCAGCTATTCAGGTAGGTTTTTGAAGACGATCAACAGGCAGTTGTTCTCTGCAGAGACAAAGAAAAATTAGATAGCAATGTAGCAAGAACAGATCAACTGTCAATTAATAAAAATAAAAAGCTAATTTCAGATAAAATCTCACCAGCACCAATGATGATCTCTCTTTTGTTAAAGCGAATACACAAAAGCTGGAGGTCATTTTGAGGGTCAAGGTCTCTTACTGCACTTCTTGCCAATGCAGTGATTTCGGAAACTTCTCTTCCATACCGAGAACTTGTTCCACTATCAAAACTTGATCTGATAGGAACACCTTGAAGAACATTTAAATTCACTCAGATTATTAAATAGAAAAGGTGAATTGCGTAATAACGTTTTTTCTTGAGTTTATTTACCTTCTGAATTGAGAACTATTGTTCCTGCCACACTTGCATTGCTTTCAATCCTCTTCAGTGTCTCCTCAACACCATCCTTTAGGAAAGAAACGCAAAGAACAAAACTTGAATGTGCACTGTTATATTAATTTAATAACGTATATAACATGAATTAAATCTTTTTTTTAGGAATAATTGTGTTTGTTATGAATTACTACACGGGAATACAGTTAATCGTGCTTCTTTCTTACCATTTTCTCTGAAGATAATAAACGTCTCTTTTCGTTGTTCCAGTAAAATTTAATAAAGAAAAACAAACTCTAGAGTTTCTCTGTTGCCTATGGAAACGGGAGACACTTCTTCTTCGTTTGTTTAATGGCGGTTGGTAGACAATGAAACGGAAGACGCGTCACACTCAGCCGGAAGTGGAGCATAGTAAGCGTTCTGCTTGTTTAGCTAGTGTGCTGTTAGCCTTCGTTGCCGAAATGCCAGACTTAGCGGTGGAGAATGTGGTGGTTCACCCGCTTGTGTTACTCAGCGTGGTAGATCACTTTAACAGGTTAGTGAAATCCATATTTATGTTCGTCTTAATGTTAATAATTGATAGTAAATAGTTGGTTAACGGAACCCTGTAGCCATGCTAATGTAAAGTTAGCCGTGCTGAGTCAGAGCCCCGTTGCAAATGAATGGAGAGACATGACAAGGCTACATAGCTTAGCTAGTTCAAAGTGTTGGAGAAAGAATGCTACGTAAAATTGACCTGCAGTCTAATTATGTTTGATTTAGGACTCTTATTGTAATCGAAATGTATCCATACAACAGTGGCAATCGGTTTCGTTTAATCATGTTAACTTCAAAACTGGTTTTAATTTAACTCACGGTCGCGTTTCTTTAGGTCTGATTAGGTTTACATCGAAAACATTCACATACATCAATTAATTCAAAGAATAATGAGACCTAATACCTAAAATATAGACTTAAAAGACATCATACTTCATAAGCACCGTCCTGTTTTCGTATGCAAATACCTACACACTCTACATACATTTAAACACTATATTTGTCCAAGAATCGAAAAGATTCAATGTTTTACACTTAACTGTGTTTTTTTGACATACTATTTTACTGCTAACTACTACTTACAGTTTTGTTTTTCAGTAGTATTCAAATTTATTGAAAAGACCAGAATATAAAAGTACATCAATACCAATATATAATACAAAAATACTTCTTAGCACATTAGTAGTCCTACAGGTGAATTTATTATTCCCATTTGAGGTAACCCCTTTAGCCATATATATATATTCTTATGTTATGTATTGATTTCTGTTCCCCACACAAGTTTTAAACTATACTCCTTCCTAAATTACATTACTTCTCTCTCCACAAGTCTGTTTTGTAGATTAATAGTCTTTAGTGTCAGGAATTGCAAATTATTTTTCACAGTTTCGTATTTGACTAAATTACTCCTCAAATACCATTTCAAAAGTTTATGTTTAATGATGTTTGGATACATTTAATTAAACGGGTTGATTTGTATCTACAGGATAGGAAAAGTTGGAAATCAGAAGCGAGTGGTAGGTGTCCTCCTGGGATCATGGCACAAAAAAGTTCTTGATGTCTCCAATAGTTTTGCTGGTAAGTATTAAATCGAAAGGATAGAAATGAGAGAAAACAAAAGGGAAACTGATACAGATAGTTAAAGAGCTGTTCCAATTTAGTGAACAAGATCAGGTTCTATAAGATCCAAGAGTCAAAGGAGCATAATTGGTTTTCTTGTTAGTTTATTCATTTTAAGGTTCCAGTTTTCTCCCCAAGTGTGACCCCAGCTCTCATCAAATCTGAAATGTTTATATCTACGGTTAGATTTTTAAAACAACACTAAGTAACTTTTCAACCTTTGTAAAATATTTTTCATAACGTTTGTGAGTATACGTTGACTTACAACTATTGTGTATGAGCACTGAAATAGGAAGATAGTATTGTGTAGCATTAGCTTACCTTCGTTTGTGAGCTAACTTATCGTTCAGTTTGTTACCACATGGCCTCTGACAACAGCCATGAAGAAAGCAGCAGTCTAAACTGCAGCTGAGTTGGTGTTTCTACAAATCACATAACTTTAGACTGTAGGGCAATGAAAGCTCCTACTCCGATTGAAATGCTACTCCATTGTAATGCAAAATGGCTGAGCTGTCAAGACCCGAATAGATTTAAGTATGTATGGATAATAGGTATATGTTTTTACAGTTTTTGTAAACAAAATGATCCAAATTGTTTTAAGCTCATGTCTGTTTAGCTATATAAAATTAAAAGTGTAGATCTTTGTAAAAGTATTTAGATCACAACAACTAAAATAATTGATTAAAATGCATTAGTATGTGCAACCAGCTATCTGCTATGTGAACTCTTGTGATTTGCCTGAGAGAAAATTAAACCTTGGCACAGGACTTCTATGATCTATTTTTTTTTAATACGAACATAACCTATATTTTCAGTTTTGGTTTGCTTTCTTATAAAACACAATGCCAAGTTGTTTTTTTTGGTTTTGTTTTTCTTGTAGTGCCATTTGATGAAGATGACAAGGATGACTCTGTGTGGTTCCTGGATCATGATTACCTGGAGAACATGTATGGCATGTTTAAAAAAGTCAACGGTGAGGCAGCAAATGTCAGATTATTTAGATATTCTTTGGATTTTTTTGTTTTTTAACTGGCTTCTTTATTTTTTAGCCCGAGAAAGGATAGTTGGGTGGTATCACACAGGACCCAAGCTCCATAAAAATGACATTGCCATTAATGAGCTCATCAAGCGGTACTGCACCAACTCGGTATGCATTTCATTAACTGTCCTGTGTTTTGGATTTTTTTTTTTTTTTTCGTGTGATGGATTTTGCTTAGTTCATTTTAATTATGAGCATTATTCTCATTTTCTTGTCAGGTTTTAGTCATCATAGATGTGAAGCCTAAAGATCTTGGACTGCCCACAGAAGCATACATTTCAGTGGAGGAAATACATGATGTAAGTCATTCTTTAAGTTTGTTTTAGAAGCTATTTTTGTTTATCATTAGATGTAAAGAACATTTTTATTCAACATGCTTTTTCTAGGATGGCACCCCCACCTCTAAGACATTTGAGCATGTCACCAGTGAAATTGGAGCTGAAGAAGCAGAAGAAGTGGGAGTGGAGCATTTATTGAGGTAAAACCTGAATAAGCAATTATCTGCATGCTTAATTCCCCTGTGCAATTAGTGTTGGTAATCACTTTTTATTTTGAATACGCTTTAAATCACAATATTCTCCTCTGCTTTATTCTGACCATAGGGACATCAAAGACACCACAGTGGGCACTCTGTCTCAACGCATTACAAACCAGGTTCACGGTTTGAAGGGGCTCAACTCAAAGTTGCTGGACATCCGCTCTTACCTTGAACGAGTGGCTGCTGGCAAACTTCCAATCAACCATCAGATCATCTACCAGCTGCAGGACGTCTTCAATCTGCTGCCAGATGTAAACCTACTGGTAAGATCTTAGAGCTTACAAACATGTATTTACTGTAACAGTACAAAACATTTGGATGTTTGATGGAGGTGAAGCTATTTCTGTTCAGCTTAAATTATACACACAGATTTAATGTTTTTATATAATATATAAAAACATTAAATTAAACCTATATAATCTTTATTGTGGTCAGTTTTAAGAGTCAGAGGAAAATTACTCATACTGATGCCCTTACAGGTTTGAACAAAAGTTCTACTATTGATTCTCATCAACTTGAATGTTTTATTAATTTGACATTTTTATAATCAGCTATTTACCAGGTTGGAATGAAGATGCACAGTTAATATGCAATGGTTGTTTTGAAATGACAAAACTACACAAATTTGAATTTGTAGATTTCCTTTAATAATCTTATTAACATCATACAGTGATTCATAAATGTATATAAACCTCCACCAGTATTTGTCGAAATGCCATTTTATAAGCTATGGAGAAGTCCTAAATTTGTAAGAGAAATCAACAAAGCTCTGGCATAATACCTGCTGGATCTTTCACCTCTCCCCAGCTGTTCCCCTGATGCCAGAGAAGCCTTTTAGTATGATGCAACCAGCAGTGCTGCCCTCTTTGACAGCTGGCACTGTCCTTGGTTTTAAAAGCAGCACACTGACTCCTGTAAACCGATTTCTGGCTATCATGACTAAATAGACATGTCTTGATTCATGTGGGCTGCTACAACTTGAGTGGAGCATAAATAATGCCTAAAAATACAGGATGTTAATGAACTCTTTTTCTGTCTACCTCACTGTTGTGTCAGAGCATTAGCTGGAGGCAGGCTTTTAACTAGCAATACATGCAGCTGTATATTGTTCAACCTTTACTAAAAAAATGAAAAATTGTAATCCCTGTTTTTTTAACTAGAAACTTTGCTCAAATCTTTAAAGTTTCACAAACAGCAGCTGCTGTAGTTGGAAAAATTGAACTATTGGTGCTCAGTGCACCACATCAACCAATCGGAGAAGCTGATCTGGGAGTTGCCAGAGAGAAGTCCACTGAACTCCACTGAAACAGTTTAACGCCTAAATTAACTTAAAATGTCGAAACCTGGCAGTTCACTTTTATTGTTCTGGTGCCTGCATTTTGAGCCACATTGTGAAAAACGGCAACATCTACTTCCAGCAGCCACGAAGAGTAGGTAAAGCTGTCTGAGGCAGCTGCTGGGGATTCCCAGTGACAGCGCACCGCATAGCGAAATAATATTTTATGGCAGGATTGTAATGAAGTGACTTGTGATGAACTGACTGCACAGGTGTACTTTCTCGCATAAAGTCTATTAAAACAAATTTTTACCAGCTTATAAAAGCAAATATAGCAAAGCCATTGCCATTGAACACAGGAGCAGCAGAGGCATCAGATGCATCTGGACACACTTTACTAGATGCGCTTGAGTCACTTCTGACCTTAATTTGTACAGGCATCAAAAAAATGAAGCAGCAGGCGCTCTTTTACTGCTCAAAGCCCTTTAGGTGTGAACGTAGCATTACACTTTCTGATTCTTTGAATTAACCTATGAAACATTTTTGTACCTAAAAAATTATATTGCATCTTCTTTATCAAATTTCCACCTCTAGTCAAGCATACATACTTCCCATAATCAGGACAGAAGCAGTTTTATAACAAAGACAAAAAGTTAGCTGCATTCCACCTCAAAGTGCAGGAAATAGCATTTCAGAGAGTCTTAATTTCAAAATTTTCTGGGGATGATACCCCCCAGATCCACCTACGCCGTGCAAAGCCTAAAAATGTGATACGCCAAGGTTTACAACCTAAGAAATATTATTAGCTAAAAGCCTGACTGGAGGCCAGACAAACCGATAACTGGAGGTGGCCAATACAGACCAGCGCAGGGTCTGCTACAAAATCAGCCTAAGTTAACATATTGTTTTGTAGTTGGATGCCAGAACCGACAGAGTACAGACAATTAGAAGTTTTATCCCATACCTGCTACCACTTTCAGAAAAAAAGCAGATATCTAGACAGCTCTGTTTAAAAGCAATATGAGAAAAGTTAATAGAAATGATCATCAATCAAATTTTCTACTGCTGAAACTTTATTTAAAACAAAAAGAAAGCTAACAAAACTAGATCCCTTTATTAAAGTGCTCTTAGGGAATCTTTTTGCCTCCAGCTATGCTCCGCCCACAGAAATATGTCACATTGTTTAACAATTGTAAAGGGGTCGTTAAGAATCTCCCCTGTGGACAGTAACATTTGGGTTTTATAATTTTAAAATTTATTATTGGTCTCTGTGGTATCTGGGTTGTGCCTCAAAATTTTCGCCAATGTCAGGTCCACTAATGGTTGCAATAATTCAAACCTCACCAAGCCTCGAGTATTTTCGATTTTGCTCTTAAAAAGATAAACAATCTGCTGCTACAAAAGAAATTGGAAATTTAGAGAGCCTTATGTATCCATTAAGATTATGAAAAATATAGAGTTAAATGATCATTTAAAAAAGAAAAATGTATTTCCAAAGTTTAGTTTTACAGTTATCTGAGAAAACCTACAGCTTATCTAAAAAAAATAAAAAGTGCCATATTTAATTGTCTGTTTTAGGATGAGACAAAGCACTGAAATGATTTTTTACTTTGCCAGATAAAATTTGCCACCAAAAATTCAAATATAGTAGTAGCCTTTAAGGTGCAGAATAAACTTTGACCTTTAGATTTTATTTTGATTTATCAAGCATACAGATAACATAACCAAACAAGGCAAAACATAAATACCTTGAAATTTAAGTCTAGACAAATGTGGGAATTGAAAGGGGAAGAAACTTAGAAACCCATCCTAGTGTCTGATCTTATGTTTAAAATATACATGTTCTGTGAAATGTGTTTTAATTAATGGAATATGTTGTAATAAAGTAATGTTTCTGTCATGTTTTAGGAATTCACTAAAGCCTTTTACCTGAAGACCAATGACCAGATGCTGGTAGTCTACCTGGCCTCACTCATTCGCTCCGTGGTGGCACTTCACAACCTGATCAACAACAAGATTTCCAACAGAGACGCAGAAAAGAAGGAAGGGCAGGAAAAGGAAGAAGGGAAGAAAGAGAAGAAAGATGACAAAGAGAAAAAAGAGGAAAAAGATAAAGACAAGGAGAAAGACAAAGCAGATGGTGCCAAAAAAGATGAGAAGAAGAAAAAATGAGCGCTCGTCCCCTGTGGTCTTCTCTCAGATCACACCATCGTCAGCAGGATGGCGTTCTACTTTTTCCCCTCTGTATGTGGGTCTGAGACTAAAAGTAGGACTCTAAATGGGGAATTGTGTCATTTGAGATTTGGCCTCCTGATAACAACTTGACACTCAAAGACTGCTATTATCGTGTAAGGATTACGTTTGCTCTCCAGTGTTCTGAGCTGTGAGAACATGTGTATGCTGTTTTCATAGTTACCAAGCTCCTGGTGTTTTCCAACCTGAGTTTGGCTGTTTGTAAAATGGAGTAATGATGATATTGTTTCTGTATCACTCATTAAAACGGGAACCCAGTAAAAGGTTTTTTGTAGTTTTGTTTGCCTTTTTCAATTAAAGATTATATCATTGAATATGTTATTTGTATTTTAAAATGGACTTTGTGATAAATATATATATATAGAGAGACCCTGCTATTTTGCAAATTATCCCACTTAGAAATCATTGTATATGCATGTCCACTGTGAAAGACAAAAACTTAAAAAAAAATTCCTCAAATCTTAATGTATATTTAACTATTTTTAACTGCAAATAACTATTTGAACACCAATCAGCTACAATTCTGACCCTCAAAGACCTGTTAGTCTGCCTTCAAAATGTGCACCTCCACTCCCTTTATTATCCTAAAGTAGATGCACCTGTTTGAGGTCGCTAGCTGAACCAAGTGCACCTGTCCATCCCATACAATCGGTAATAATCCAACCACTAAAAAGGCAAAGACCAAAGAGCTGTTCAAAGACACTAAATAAAAATTGTACACCTCCACAAGGCTGGAAAGGGCTACTGGGAAATTGCCAAGCAACTTGGTGAAAAAGGTCCACTGTTGGAGCAATCATTAGCAAATGCAAGAAGCTAAATATGACTCAATCTATGCAATACCTCATGTTGTGGGGTCTCAATGTTTTGAGGAAGAAGAATGATGAATACCATCCCAAGAACACCAGTCCTACTGTGAAGCATGGGGGTGGTAGCATCATGCTTTGGGGGGTGTTTTTCAACACATGGACAGGACGACTGCACTGTATTAAGGAGAGGATGACTGGGCCGTGTATTTCGAGATTTTGGGGAACAACCTCCTTCTCTCACGTAAAGAATTGAAGATGGCTCAAGGCTTCCAACATGACAATGCTCAAGCACACAGCCAGGATAACCGGGAGGTGGCTCTGTAAAAAGCATATCTAGATTCTGGCATGGCCTACCCAGTCTCCAGACCTAAACCCAATAGAGAATCTTTGTAGGGAGCTCAAACTCTCCCAGCGACAGCCAAGAAACCTGACTGATCTAAAGAAAATCTGAGTGGAGGAGTGGGCCAAAATCCCTCCTGTAGTGAGTGCAAACCTGGTGAAAAACTACAAGGACAGTTTGACCTCTGTAAACAAAGGCTACAGTACCAAACTGTACCCTCCATAATTTCCAAGTGGGAGAACTTGCAAAATAGCAGGGTGTTTGAATACTGGTTAAATAAGAAGTGCTAAATATTCAGGATTGCCTAATGAAACAAAAGATGCAACTAAACAATTTATAGGTTTAACCATCAACAATCCCGCATGAATGGCACCCGTAATTCTGTAGACCAGGGGTCGCCAACGCGGCCCCCGCGGGCACCAAGGGGCCCTCAAGGACCATGAGGTGCCCTCAACGCCTTCTGAAAACAGCAACTCAGCAGTGGGCTAAGTTTGAAATTTTATTTTATTCTGTGACTCTTCTTCATTTCATCATAGTAATCATATAGGGCATTTTAGCATTTATAGAGATTTTAAAATTATGTTTAAAGGAAAATTAGAAATTAAAAGTTAACAATAAAAATGTGTTTATTATGGATGAAGTTTAGGTGAACGCTGACCCCTCTTGTTCATAGGTCAGTATTGGTAGCCCTTCCTATGATTCAATAGCCATGAAGTAGCCCTCAGCCTTGAAATGGTTGGTGACCCCTGCTGTAGACACTTTAGCCAATTAAAAACCAGGAAATATCTTACAAGTATATACGAAGTACTACCTATGAAATAACACTCTCCTTTTTATCAATAGGGGCAGAAATTCTCTGTAAGGTAAACTAAAGAAGCAAAAGAAAACTTCCAATATCCTAGGTTTGTTGACGCCCCTATCTGATACCTCTGAGCAGGTGCCCATTTACCTATTATTTTAGGCTCTTTATTTTAGAATTTAATATTTTTCAGGCTTTTGGGAGAAAAAAAAAACAGACGTAAAAAAAGTACTTTCAAATCAGTCTTGGAAACATAAAATTATTACAAAGATTAATTTTTACGTTTTTTAGGCAGCTTCAGGGGCACTGTATGGGGGGGAGTTAGGAAGATGCCAAGGGCCCTTGCTGAGGGGTTCAGATACATATTTTTCAAATCTAAAAAGAAAATCCTACAGTAAAATGAATTATCTTTGTGTTCTCCCTGATCTTTCAGGATTAAACAGTGAAATGAAGCATGAATATATTGACCATTATGGTCATTATATGTATACATGAATAAAAAATTCTTAGGAACAGCATAAAAATAATCTGTCCTTTGTTTAAATTTATAGCAAAACAAAATAGATTATATTTTCAAAATCCAAAACCTATTTTCTTTCTAAATAACCTGTTAGTTTGGGAGCAAGATTTTTTTTTTTTTTTATGTGAAGTTTTAAGTGAAAGTATATATAACTTTTTCATCTACGGATAATTTGAATATGTTAAAATCGTACAGTAAATAATCATGCTCTTCGATCCATCTTTATAACAGTTTTAAAGCTTAACTCTTTTTTTTTTTTCTTTTTTTCATTGAGGTGGGGGGGCAATATCAATGTCTTTCATGGGGCCCCAAATTCCTGGCGGCGCCCCTGGGCAGCTTTGAACACATTTCTAAATCGCAGAGGTGGATTTTTTTTATGCAAGTTAGCTATGAGACATTTCCGGGATTTACTTTCGGTTGAACAGCCTGAGAACATAAAGCCACTTCATTTTCTCGGTTTTATTTTTACTGCGTCATCCCTTCCTCTCCGCTTCATAACGCGCAGCTCCTCCGCTACAGCCCCCCTAAATTGCCCGCAGGCCCACGAGCGCCAACGTAGCGCATTTAATCCGTGGTCGTGTCGCAGAAATCAGATTATTGGGCAGGTAAACTGGATTCTGACGTAGAGGGCTTAAGCCCAGACTGGGAGGCAGAGGAGCGACGCGACCAGAAGCGGAGGTGAAGGAAGGATGCAGCTCAGGGAGGCTCCTCCTTTCCTCCTCTTTTAAGGAGCGCCGCATGACTCCCAGGATAAATCTCTGCCTCTGAGCGGAACGGAGGAGCGCCCTGAACATGGCTTCATACCTGGAGGTGAGGCTGCAGCTCTGAGCGGAGCTCTGGGAACTTGTTCTGGGTGTGGTTTATGAGCTGCTACCGAATGAAGGCCCTACAGGTGCCTGCGTTAATCTGCTCTGCTGCGGATTCGCACATTTATTACATTTTCTCTGACTAATCGAGCTTCTTATCGTCTCAGATCCCGGATGATGAGGAAGGACATGATCTAGACCTCTTCTGTGTGCCCAGACATTACGAGAGCGACCTGGACAAGGTGATCATCCCCCATGGACTCATCATGGACAGGTGAAGCAATCAACAGCTCAATGGGAAACACCTTTAGTTTGTCGTGCTGTCAGTTTATACTGTAGACATCTGGATTTATCACAGCCAGAAGAGTCTGATTGTTAATTATCTCTTCTACTGGTTGTCCTGATGTTGCCAATGCTTGTTTGCATGCAGAAAAGGAAAAAAAAAAGTAATTTTATCCCAGTTAAAATTCTGAGTGTGCAACTCACAAATTAATCACAAACAGAGTAGAATAGAATAGAATAGAAAATCAATTTATTGTCCCACAATGGGGAAATTCTGGTGCTTAGAGAAGCAAAAAGATGATAGAAAAAATGATCACATAAAAGCGGACCTTAGAAAAATGTATAAGAAATGTATAAGAATAACATAGTAGGTTCCGCAGCATGTTCTGCAGAACTACCAGACTACTGAACAGTTTCTTCTGCCTTGCCATCAGACTGCTTAACGCTACATAACACTCCTCCCCCCATGGGCATGGACAATACACCCACCTTAGTTTAGTTTTGTCTTCAATTTAATGTTTCATTTTCAATAACTCTTCTGTGCAATATTCAATAACTCAGTGCAATATTTATTTATTGATGTTACTTCTTCAATAACTCAGTGCAATATATATGTATATATATACTCTTTCCCTGTGTATAGCTAGCTCTTACTCATAGAAAACATATTTATTGTGCAGGAATAAGGTCTTAGCTCTGTTACACTGGTAGCAGAGTAATCGACATTTCGTTCTCAAGATTCACCTTGTGTTTTTTGTGCAATGACAATAAAGGAAGTCTAAGTGTTAAAAAAGAAACAAATTAAATGCTCTATTTTAAAGTGTTTTAACAATATAAATACTGTGCACCTGGAGAATAAATATGGACATTTTTATTCTCCAGGTGCACAGTATTT